ACACACACACACACACACAACACAGTCCAAACATCAACTTTCTAATCTGTTTCCTGTTATTAGACTGCGCAGTGAGAAATGGATGGATGTCCAGGTGGGAGACATCATCAAGCTGGAAAACAACCAGTTTGTCACAGTGAGTCAGCTGAAGAAAAGAAACGCTTCTTCACATTCTATTCTGTTCCCCATGTCCAATTAGACTTCACCCCTATTTATAGTATCATCACAGTGTTTTCATTGTGTGTTTGTGCTACACTTTTATTTGTGATTATTATTATTTTTTTATTTTATCAATCCTTTTTTTTTCTACATGTTTCTAATGTGTGTGCAAAGGGAGTAAATATAGATAGAACATGTTCCTCATCATTTTTGGGGAGACATTCCTATAATCAGTGATTGAAAAAAAGAAAGTAAAGCTATAAGCTACTGTAATGCAAACCTTTTGGCAGTTGTTCAAACAACTAGTAAGATAAGAGAATCCTTTATTGGTGCCCAGAGGGGACATTTAAGATTCATAATAATGCATGCTTATTTGATGCCGTCATTTCAGGCTGACCTCTTGTTGCTCTCAAGCAGTGAGCCACTCAACCTGGTCTACATTGAGACAGCAGAACTGGATGGGTAAGACTGTTTTTTTTATCCAATATGAAGATTCGAGATAACATACCAGTACAGTTAATCATGCAACATGTATTTTATTCCTGTTCTCCTCTTCCTCATCTCTAACACATTTTCTTCCTTTTTCTCTTATTTTGGTCCTTCCCTTCCTCAGAGAGACCAACTGAAGGTCAGACAGGCCCTGCCCGTGACAGGAGACCTGGGAGAGGATATTGAAAAGCTGGCCGACTTTAACGGTAAGACTATTGTATTACAGGACAACTAACTGCTGGTTTCTGAATTCATCAGCATGTAAGACTAAGAGAGGTAAAGTGCCCCGACTTCCTTTAGGGGTTTTTGGACTTACAACACTATCATAGACATCACCTGGGCAAATTTAAGTTGCATTTAAAGAGCCAAATGCAAAACTAGTTTCTAAAATGTTAATATTAATATGTATGCTCCTGGAGCGTTCTAACTTTTTCTGCAGCTGCTGTGAGCATTAATAGTTAAAGATCTGTTTCCCCTCTGTTCTCCTCAAGGTGAGGTGCGTTGTGAACCACCCAACAACCGCCTCGACCGCTTTACTGGAACACTAACCTTCGCTGGTCAGAAATACCCGCTGGACAACGAGAAGATCCTGCTGCGAGGCTGCACCCTGAGGAATACCGACTGGTGCTTTGGACTTGTGCTATTTGGAGGTGGGACAGACTTATCTCAGACTCGTATAGATAAAAAAAAAAAAAAAAGTAGTGGAAATTGTCAACTTGTGAAGATATTAAAAATTGTTTTGGGGCACTGGTTTAGCTTTAGAGCAAGCGCCCCATGTAGAGGGTGTGTACTGTAATCGTCGCACTGGTTGCAGTTTCAACTCCTGATCTCGGTGCTGTTTTGACTGTATCATCGGCCACACTCTCTCCTCCCGCATCTTTCAAGATTTTGCTTAATTCTGTTCATCTTCTGCAGGTCCTGAGACAAAGTTGATGCAGAACTGTGGGAAGAGCACGTTCAAGAGGACCAGCATAGACCGCCTGATGAACATCCTCGTCCTTTGTGTGAGTCTCCCAATTGCTTCCTTTCATCTCATCTCAAGATGGTCAAACATGTAATTATTTTGTTATTAGAGGAATTAAGAAGTCCACTTTTAATTCATCAACTGAGTGGGATTTCATTCATCTCTAAAATGACATCCAGTTTAATCATTTGAACAATTCAGTATAAATGGTTTGCCAATGCGTTTACTGGTGTTTAAGCTCATTATGATATAGGGCCCTAATTGACGTTCTAAAGTGTGTTGTCCAGGACAGGTGTGTTGTGATTTTGGGTGTGTTCTTCTACAATGTGCTAGTTATGCGGTTCACAATCTGGGTTACCAAAGTTAGCGCATGGCACAAAGTGGTCGTAGTAAGTCCCAGTTCAAGATTACACATGGGTGTGTTTTTGACATGAAAGGAATTAAACCAATAACTGTGAGTGTCGGCTCTGATTCCCTTTAAGAACCAGGTGCTCCTGCTAGCTGGCATGTTGTAATTCCAACTGCAGATTTCAGTCTTTATTTTTAAATAGACTGAAATCTGGCCAGCTCCTTTAACTTCTCACCATCCACGGCCTTTGAACACACAGAACTCACACGGGACACTATATGAAATAGGTTAGCAGATTTGAGATATTTCCCGCTGATGCAGTCCCACACCTTCAGAAACGATCTGTTCCTTTCCATATTAAAAGAGAAGTGGTAAACAGTTCCACATTAGGTACAGAAATGAATCCTCATTAGTTATTAAAATCTCCAGACAAGCCGACAGGATCAGACATGACCTAACTAATGTTATGATTGTGAAACTTAAAATAAAGGTTGGCTGTAAACATTTATTTACTTTTTTGTCTCTTACCTGGAATCCTTGGCTGTACTCTCTAATGCGTGCGTTTGGATATTGGGGAGTCTGCTTATGAATAAGAGTTATAATAAATCCATCTATCTTTTACATGAGGGAGTGTAAGTTTGTGTTTCTGCGTGTGCTTCTGTGTATATAAGACAGAGTAAGCACAGATGGTGGAGTGCTTGGTGTTGGTCTTGCGGTCTCCGTGGCTTCTGTGCTATTCTATATGAGTGTTAGCACTCCCAGTGAGTGCAATGGGAGTGCTAATGTGCTTCCCTGTGTGTCGGGCGGAGTGGAAGTCTGTTATGAACTCATTTTTATGTACCCATGTCTCTAATATGCCCTCTAAATGGCAGGAACAACATTTCACAACAGACTTTGGTCTTAAGTCTTTAGCATTGTTAAGATAGGAACGCAAACTCACAGCCCTGGGTGCTTAAGTGGGACCGAGCTTCTTTGCTATTTACACAACATGAGCGCTGGGTGAGAAAATGTCAACTGTGTCAGGTGGAAAGTAGAAAATAGTAGTTTCTTGGAGATTTTTCAAATGCTTTTTATTCCTAGAACTTGTACAAGCACATGTTACATTTCATTCATTCCAACCAAAATGATAAAGACAAGAATGGAGTAAAAATCAGTGCATTCATTTTCTGCCTTACTTTTGATGCAGATTTTTGGTTTCCTGGCCTTCATGTGCACGATCCTGGCGATAGGAAACTTATTCTGGGAGGTGAACGAGGGCTCACAGTTCACAGTCTTTCTCCCCAGACAAAATGACAACAAGGCTGCCTTCTCTGCCTTCCTCACGTTCTGGTCCTACGTCATCATCCTCAACACTGTGGTGCCCATCTCTCTCTATGTTAGGTAACAATGTACAGTACAAACATGTTAGGTGTGACATAGGTGCTTAAATGACATGTAGAGAGAGTGTGGCAGACAAAATGAATAGAAAAGGAGACGATATGCTCGTTCTCATTTTGTTTATCTACATCTCTCTTCAGCGTAGAGATCATTCGATTAGGGAACAGCTTCTACATTGACTGGGACAGGAAGATGTACTATGGACGTAAAGACACCCCCGCTGAGGCTCGCACCACCACGTTGAATGAAGAGCTCGGTCAAATCAAGTACATCTTCAGCGACAAAACGGGAACGCTCACCCAGAATATCATGGTGTTCAACAAGTGCTCCATCAACGGCAAAACTTACGGTAAACTTGGAGACATGACCTAAAAGCTCTTAAGGTGGAACTGTGTCCATTAAAACATGGTTTTAAGTTCTTATAGTTTACTTTTAATTAACCGCCTCCTTTGGTAATGAAGTGAGACAAAGTGAACAGGACCTCACCAATGACTGCAGTCCCCAAAACTCTCAAAGGCTAACTTTTTTTTGTTTTTCAATCAACTTCCATAACCCAAACCGTGTAATATTTATTTTTTACTTAATTAAAACAACTCATTTATAAGTTTAACAGCTTTTTGCATCCCAAACCATATCTGCTTTTTTTATGCTTATTCTTTATTTTTGCGAGTTTTGAAAGGTTGATGTTAAATGTACCAGACCTCATGCTGCAGATTGATTTGATTACACTTAGTCATTCAAATCTACTTTGGTTGCAGGATTCTTCAGAAAGAAGAGACCACTTAGAACTGAGAATTCAACAAAACCATGCACTAAGAAATGTGTGGATAAATACTTTCAAGAGAAAAATACCCTGATAATTCAAAAAAAGCATCGATTTGTTCATTAGTCTTTTGAAGGGGTCATTTGGCTCTTGCAGTTTTTAAATCCATCATATAACCATTTGATTTGTGCTTAACATGACAACAGACATGCAGTTCAGATATTTTTTCTCTTTCTCAGGGGATGTGTATGACTACACTGGTCAAAGACTAGAAGTTACAGAGGTGAGTTGGTGATTAAGCAAGTCGTCGCACCTGCTTGGCAAATTTGTTTTATCTTGCTGTGTGAATTTACATAGATCTTCCTTCTGCAACATCCCTGTCTGTTTACAACAGTATCCCTTTATCGTCTAAAAACCACCGGACTAAATCCACTCTAAAGTCTTTAACTTATAACTCTAACATTTCTGAACTCTTGTTACCAACTTCTATCTTGTTAAAAATGTTCTCTCACTCTCTTGTAAAAGGATACAGAGAGGGTGGACTTCTCCTTCAACCGGTTGGCTGACCCTCGCTTCATGTTCCATGACCACGCCCTGGTGGAGGCAGTGAAGCTTGAGAACCCTGAGGTCCACGCTTTCTTCAGACTGCTGGCCCTGTGTCACACCGTGATGGCTGAGGAGAAGAGAGAAGGTGAGGGGGGAGTGTTTGTACGTGAGCTTGTGAAGGATGGATTTGTCTGTAATAAGAAATAAAACATCAACCAGTGGCATGATTTCGGTCTCATTCCAGTAAAAGTACAAATTCCAATGCTTCAGCTCGTCTACTGCTTCAAGGACTACAACCTGAAGCCAAACATGGTAGTGACAAAAACTGCAGCTCCTCAAATGACCACTGGAAGCTGACCTTTGTACAGTGAACTGAATGCACAGCGGCTGAAGATATTTTTGAAAACAAAGCGTGTATATTTTTTGTAGAAAACTCTGAATGGCACACAGTTCAGACGAGACGGACCTCAGCCTGACCTAAAATAATGAACAATGTTTTTTTTGGTAATTAAGTGACTAAAAAAAAATATGTTAAAAAGTGAATAATTCATTTATCTTTTATCACTCAATATAAAGCTGACCTGGTCAATATGACCCAAATGAGAGTTAATACTCATATAGAGCCTAATATAGCTTGACTGAACCGAAACAATAAACATGTTTTCAGCCAATTAAAAATCCCTTTTGGTCGCTACAGTTTATTCGCTCAATCGTGAAATTTCATTAATTCATACACCTATGTTGTCACACGCTTCTACAGTATATCTTTGTACTGCTTTGTTGTAGGTTTGTAATCTAAAACTTTTCTTAAATTCACTGCTTCAAAAATGTTCAGCAACTCAAAGACAAGTGGTAGTTAAAATCTGGAGGAAAATTGAGCCTTCATTTTGTTGTAAAACTACACAGTTGGTTAATCTTTATCTATAAAAAAAAAAAGCTTTGTAGCAACAGCTAACATTAGCATTTCTCCAAATCCATGTTAACAGTGCTGTGCTTCCTCCAGTGACAGAGGCATTTCTTTTTCTCCCAACAGGTGAGATTTACTACCAGGCCCAGTCTCCGGATGAGGGAGCTTTGGTCACTGCAGCCAGAAACTTTGGCTTCGTCTTCCGCTCACGAACACCAGACAGTGTTTCCATAGTGGAAATGGGACAGCAGTGCAGCTATGAACTCCTCGCTATCCTGGATTTCAACAACGTCCGCAAGAGGATGTCTGTCATAGGTATGAAAACTACATTTTGGGAATAAAGTTTCCTAAAAGTTGTGGTCTTGAGTACAGACTGCCGTCTCTAGCCAGACAAAGTGGGTGCATATTTTTGCTTTTTGATCCCTTCTTTTCCTTGTCTTGATCGTCATATTTTTGCTCTCATGTTTCTGTGTTAATACTTGTGTGTATTTGTGTATTTAGTTCGGAGTCCAGAGGGGAAGCTGTCTCTCTACTGTAAAGGTGCAGACACGATCATCTATGAGCGGCTGGATCAGTCCTGCAGCAAGCTGATGGAGGTCACCACAGAGCATCTTAATGTGAGTAATGCGTGCGTGCGTACGTGCGTGCGTGCGTGCGTGCGTGCGTGCGTGCGTGCTGCCCTATAAATCCAAACGTTGTATTCTCCAGTGTTCTCCTCCTGTTTCCTTCTAACTGGCTGACAACTAACTGTTTCTCTGGATATTGTACAAAGGCTCACTGGTGTGTCTACAATTGACTCCTCAGAATTGGACTGGGAGAAAACTGTCAGAGGATTTTTTTTTTTAAAACATAAAGAAAACCTGTGTTTGGGTTTGCTTTCACAGGTCATATGGAGACTAGAACATTCAATTAAAACTGTTTCATAACCAGTATAAATCATAACATTGTCTTTAAAGGAGCTCCTTAGAGAGTGGGGTGCTGTAGTTTTTTCTTAATGTAACTTTAACTGGAGAATATTTAGCATTTTGTTTAGCACCAAAATTGTCCTGAACAAGATGTATTCATCGTTCATACATCAGGTGTGTGTGTGTGTGTGTGTGTGTGTGTGTGTGTGTGTGTGTGTGTGTGTGTGTGTGTGTGTGTGTGTGTGTGTGTGTGTGTGTGTGTGTGTGTGTGTGTGTGTGTGTGTGTGTGTGTGTGTGTGGCAGGACAATTGTATATATTGGATTGACCCTGCTAATTTAGGGGGTTTAAATGCTCAAGCATGTTAAAAGACTCAAATGTTCTGTTCTGTTTATTCTGTTCTGTTCTGTTATACCTCCATTCTCCGTCTCCTCTGAATTTGCCTACTTATCTCTTCCCTTCTCTTTATTACAGTTTTCCTTGTTCAGTTTATGTTTATGAGAAAAACACTGATTATCTCCTGGCTGTCTGTTTGTGTTCCCCTGTCATGTAGTTTATTAACCTCTTTCTAAAATGTACACAGCTAGACACATGATTTAACTTCTGTTTGTGTTTACACCTGCCTGTGAAGGGTCAATCCATATAAATATTTGCATGCTAATCTGCAGGAGTTTGCGGGGGATGGCCTGAGGACTCTGGCGCTGGCCTACAAAGACCTGGATGAGGAGTATTTCAACCAGTGGAAACAGCGCCACCATGAGGTCAGCACAGCTCTGGATGGCCGGGAGGAAAAACTAGACGAGCTGTATGAGGAAATCGAGAAGGATCTGCTGGTAGGAGAAGAAGCCTCATACTGCTACAGTACATTTATAATACTTTCATCATATTCAGAACATGTTGATTTTTGTGCTTCTGTCGTCGTGTAGCTGCTCGGAGCGACAGCCATAGAAGACAAGTTACAAGACGGAGTTCCTCAGACTATTGAGCAGCTATCCAAAGCTGACATCAAAATCTGGGTTTTGACAGGTGACAAACAAGGTATTTAACACAAGAAATTATGTTTTTGTTCACATATATTAAAACATTTGAGGCTGTTCTTTTCACAGAAACAGGTGTGAAAATGCTTTGTCATGTCTACTAAATCCGAGTCTACTTGTTCGACTGCCTTACTTGACTCATTGTTTAACTTTTTTAAGTGATTGCCAACCCTAGACTATTTTACAACTTGTGCAGATGTCGACACAATGACCAAGATACTTTATATGTAGAAGAAGCTTGTGTAAATGCATCAGACAGTTTGGAGGCTAGATATCTGTGAAGGTTCTCAGTCACCCAGGTCATGGTATTTCAAGGCTTGATCCAAAAGCATCTGGACATGATTCAAGTTCTTGAAGATATTTTACCTCCTTCTTGACGGCTTCCTCAGTTCTAAACTGACTGGTAGTAAGAGGTAAAAAAAAAAAAAGAGAGAGCTAGAAATGAAATAACAAATACATCTTGTAATAGAATTAACAAAAATGTCAAGCTCATTCATCCGGCTTTTTTAGAACTAAAGAAGCCCTCGGAGGAGACAGACGGACAGATAGATTTTAGTGTCTGTTCCACCAGTGACAAATTTTCCTTTGACAAGACTAAACAATAAACACATCTTCTAAAACACAAAGTAAAGGCAGCACAAAAGAGCACAAAAAAGAGGTAACCAAAACTTTAAGCTAAGTCCAGTTACCTTTTGGATTAAACCTTGGGACCTTTGGATTTTCTGATGTTTTCATTATGATCTTTTTAATGGCACACTTTGATGACGCATGAGGTTTTGTAATAGTCTTTATTCAGGTCTGTAAGTTTGTTTTTGTCAGAAGAACTATTGCATTAATTCAGATACTGACAGAAAGGTAATGCAGAATCATTGTTTGATAGTAAACATTGAATTTATTGTTTTTCTACACTGGTGTTGGTTATAGTATTCTTACTGTCGTGGATTGTTTGTGTTGCAGAAACTGCAGAAAACATCGGGTACTCGTGCAACTTACTGCGTGAAGAGATGAATGAGGTCTTCACTGTCTCGGGTAACTCACCGGAAGACGTTAAAGAGGAACTAAGGTCAGAGAAAGTTCTCAAAAACACTTTTTTACCACAACAGAACAAAAGTAGTTTGAATCATTTTTTGTCAGATGCAAAATAATTAAGTTCTTGTTTTTACAACAATCTCTGTAGCTAATCTTAAGCTAAAGGGACACAAGTAAATCATAAGAATAACGTGAAAATTACAAATAAATTCAAATACATAAAGCCAAAGAAGTTAAATCATGTAAATAAACGACAATATGTTTCGTAAAAAAAAAAAAAAAGGAAACTTGTCTTTTTTTACCAGCTTATTGTGTAACTTCCTGTGCAATTCTCCATGTTTATTTTCTTGGTGAGCAGAAATGCACAAACCACCATGAAATCAGTTGTGGAAGAGGATTCAGTGTTTCTGCCACAAGGGACTCTGGTTAATGGTCCTAAAGTGATCGCAGATGAGTTGGTGAACGGAGAGTACGGCCTGGTTATCAACGGACACAGTCTGGTGAGTCTGTGTCTTTTATTATTTGGCTTTCTTATTACTCAGATTGACCTGGGAAAAGGTGATATCTTTATTACACAGACAAAAACCTTTAAGAAATACAGAATAGCTACTGTTGCTGCTGCTGTTGTTGGCATTGTACAGTTTAGATGTTACATTTTAGGCAGTTATACAATGTTTCATCTCATTTATATTCCCCCTATGTTTCGTTTCCCTCAGGCGTATGCCCTGGAGCACAGCCTGGAGCAGGAGTTTCTTAAGACGGCGTGCATGTGTAAGGCAGTGATCTGCTGCAGAGTCACTCCTCTGCAGAAAGCTCAGGTGGTGGAGCTCGTCAAGAAGTACAAGAAGGCGGTCACACTGGCAATAGGAGACGGAGCCAACGATGTCAGCATGATCAAAGGTATCTTCAGCATGACAGATTTAAGGACTTAATGTTGGATTGTTTTTTTTTCCTATGAGGAAACTCATCACTAGGGGAGGTCAAGTGCTTTCATTAAGATGATATACACTGTACATATATAGAAGCTTTTTTTTTTTTTTTTAAATGAAAACTGCCACACCCCCCAGTGTAAGATAATTGGCTTTTTTCATTCAGCTAACTCGTCAACAAGATAACCCTCGGGTTAAATCAGTGATTAAAAAACTGTGCATACTTAAAACTGACTTCATTTCAAGCACAAAGTTGGAGACAGAGAATGTTTGAGCAACTGGTAAAAACACTGGACCCAGATATTCTTCTTGTTTTCATTGGATCAAAAAAAGAGCTATATGGTGAGAGACTGTTGGACCAATATACGTCAGCTGAACGCAAATGTGTTTTTAATTAATTCATTTTTGTCTCTGGGCCTCCTTTTTAGATGCAAGTGTTGATTATTTATTATGCTGATGATAAGGTTGTTTCTGACGCCCCCTAGTGTTCAACATTTGATTTGAACCTCTTGACTGCAAAAAAGTCTCCAAACACTTTGATGAGATGAGATTCAACTTTATTGTCATTACACATATACAAGTATAGAGTAACGAAATGAGGTTTGGCATCTCACCAGAAGTGCAAATAAGCAGAAAGTGCAAGAGTCTGTGCTATGTACAGTAATTACAAAATTTACAGATGTAGACAAAAAAGTGAATTATTAGGTATATATGGATGGCTGGACTTTCCATTCTTTCATTCATTCTCCCTGCCTTTGTCCATGCAGCAGCTCATATAGGTGTGGGGATCTCAGGTCAGGAGGGCATGCAGGCAGTGCTGTCCAGCGACTACTCGTTTGCTCAGTTCCGATTCCTGCAGCGCCTACTGCTGGTGCATGGCCGCTGGTCCTACCTGCGCATGTGCAAATTCTTGCGCTACTTCTTCTACAAAAACTTCACCTTCACCTTTGTTCACTTCTGGTACGCCTTCTTCTGCGGCTTCTCTGCACAGGTGAGACTGAGAGACACTGGCTTTTATTTTTGTTGCTTAGTACCTGATTAATCAATGATAGAGATGAATTAGACATAATACATACAATCTGTAACTGTGCACCACAAAGTCCCAGGAAACTATTGAATGTCTTTATTGTATTCAAGAATAAAAAATGCAAAAGTTTAAAAAGATGTTCTGCTTCTGACTTTTTTTCAGACCGTGTATGATGAGTGGTTCATAACACTCTACAATCTGATGTACACAGCGCTACCTGTTCTGGGAATGAGTCTGTTTGATCAGGTAACTGTTCTGTGATGCATGTGTGTTTTTATGTATTGTGCCAAGGAATGAGAACTGTTAATAAACTCCATTTGACTGCCTTGCATGCAAATAAAAACAGTTGTCCCCTGCTGGCCATTAGGAAGAATGTGCTCCCTATGGCTACAATGTTCTAAACACAATAACTGCATCTTCTTATTTCAGTCTAGGAGCTCAGTTATACAAGCCTCAAGTCTTTGTCTCCCTCTTCTGGTCAGGATGTGAACGACATGTGGAGTTTCCAGCATCCTCAGCTCTATGTTCCTGGTCAACTCAACCTGTACTTCAGCAAGAAGACCTTCTTCAAGTGTGTCCTCCACAGCTGCTACAGCTCCCTGGTGCTGTTCTTCATCCCCTACGCAGCCATGCATGACACGATGAGGGGTGATGGGAAGGACAGCGCTGACTATCAGTCCTTCGCTCTCCTAACACAAACATGTCTGCTGTTTGCTGTCACCATCCAGGTATGAGGGGCTTCTGGATTATCTTGTAATTTTGCATTTTGCTTATATTTATTTTTTTAAACTACATTTTTTTCCCTCTGTGTTTGTAGTTGGGGTTGGAGATGTCTTACTGGACAGCTGTGAACACTTTCTTTGTGTTGGGCAGTCTGGGCATGTACTTTGCAGTCACGTTCACCATGTACAGTAACGGCATGTTTCTCATGGTGCCGCCAGCCTTCCCCTTTATAGGTGAGTAGTGAATGCAACAGTTGACAGGAGATTCTGTTTCCCTTTTTTGTTTTTCAGTGTTGACATACATGTCTGCTCCTTTAAGTTCTTTGAACAAAACCCTTCCAGAGTACAGGTGGCAGCAAAGTTCATATGACAAGAATTACGATACCAAATATGGAATCTGAATTAAGTTTAGTATCTTAGCCACTAAGCCAACATCATATTGTATAGTCCTGTATAGTCATTCTGTATAATACTTGTGTATGTCTGTGCAGGAACCGCCCAAAACTCTCTGAGCCAGCCAAATGTTTGGCTGACGATCCTCCTCACCTCCATTCTGTGTGTTCTTCCTGTGGTTACCTACCGTTTCCTGTTCATTCAGCTCTGCCCCACTATCAATGAAAAGGTACAGGCTGGAACAGAACTATTCTATGCTCAACACTTAATTGCACTTGCATGCTAAGATTCAGCTGCACTTGTTATTAATGAATTGATTTTAAAACTCAAACCTTTCCTTTGATTTGATTTTCAAGAAACTGTTTTGAAATAGAGTTTTTTTTATTTATTGTTATCAGTCCTTTCTGTCAGACTGATCTTTAACTATTAGTTAGGAGCTTGTTTGGCATTCTTTTACATGGGCCACTTTGGTTAAATGCAAAAATTATTGACTAAAAAAACACTTTGCTCAATTTGTAGCCTGCAGCTTACTTAATAACTAAATGGCAATCCCATTTACACCCCTGAAGATTATGAGAACCTAAGGAATATCCTCAAAAAGAAATTAAAAGATGACAAAGTAACTTTTTTTTATGTTCAACTATATTAAAGATGTTTAATTTCCATCCATTCACACAAGTGTAATATGAAGGGGGATATTTTTGGTGATTCACCTTTGATAATATTATTTTCTCTATTTTGAATGTTTCATATCAAGACTGCAGTAAAGTAGACCAAAGATAGACTTGTTGTCAATCAGGCTTTGTAGACCTGAATAAAATTACCAAATACATCTCCAGAGTAGTTCAGAAAGTATACCTCCATCAAACATTTTCACTTTGTCACTTTCTGCCCAAACTTTCAGGTGATGTTCAAGGTGAGACAGGCCAAAGCCACGCCTCCCCCTCCACCTCGACGTACCCGCATCCGCCGCACCAGCTCACGGCGCTCTGGCTACGCCTTCTCGCACGCACAGGGCTACGGGGACCTGGTTACATCAGGGCGATTCCTGAGGCGGCCTGCGGTGTCGCGATCTTCAGGTTTCACCAACATTGGTCGCACAACCACTGGCTTCAGTCCCATGGGACGATCGGCGGGGTACAGCCCGACTGGACGGCCACAGAACACCAAGGCGCCAGATGTGGAGGTGACGTCGCTGCAGATGTACAGGACATTCAGAGATCCAGCTCTCTGATAGTAACATTCTGGTTGGAGATGATCTAGGAGAAGGATTACGACAAGAAAGTGAACTTTTTCTTAACATTTCCATTTGTTCCTTAAAAAAACTCAACCTGCCTCTCTGGAGAAGCCATGTCAAACATTTTGGATGGTCTGTCTCGCATCTGCAAAGTCTCCAAAGACAAGGTTTGAAAAAGACAGGACATTTTTTTGCTCCAGGCATTTTATTTTTAGATATTTTAACAAAGGGAACTACACAGGAAGTGTTCATGTGGGCGTGCATGCAGAGCCAACACATGAGAGGTTTCTTACGCTAAAAAAACTGTAACAGGGTGTTTCTTTTTTTTTCTTTTTTTTTAAAGGAGCTACCACAGTGAGACAAAGTGTCATCATGTTTACAAACTACCAGGACTTCATTACAGTCCAGATTCACAGAAGGACTTTGTACAAAGGAAATAATCAGCAAAGCCATTTTATATGGGAATATATTTATATTATACTTTGAGTGTCTTTTTAAAGCGTTATGTTCACCTATCCTAAAATCTGTACAGCCAGTAAGCACTTTGGGAGAAAACTGAATGTTTGTAAGATTATGAATGTGTAAAACTTAACCCTACAAAAAAACCTCTCCTCAGGAGGAGTAGATATTGATTTTTGAAGCAGGATTAAGCATTTTTAACAGTTGGACATCTTCATTTGTTTTTGTTTTTTTACTATCTGAGTTTAAAAAGTATTTCATGCAACTTTAATTGAAATTAGTATATATGAGGGAACATGTGCTGTTTTCAATTTACATTCTATAGAGGAATATTAGTACCATGATGCAATGATTTTTTCTCTTTTTCTTTTTTTCCTTTTTTATACACGGGTTTATGGTCGATTTCATATTGGCTTAAAAAATATAAAATGTATTTTTTTACAGATAAGGGGAAAAAAACATTTGCAAGATCTCCATGCTATAAGCACAAAAGACAACTTGGAACTAAGACTGTAAGGTTTTCTTTACAGACCCAGATTTGGATTTTTGCCTGATGATATCTAAATTTCCTTAAGAGTGACTTCCTTTTTTTTGCACCTCAGTGTTTCATAAATGCACCTTGAGTTACATCTTCAAGCCAAAGTACTGTAAGCATCCCCATGGTTGCAATTGAAGGGGCGGGGGCAGTCCGAGCAACGACCTCGGACGAGGACCCTATTGTATCTGTAGGAGTTATTCTTATTTTCCTTTGCACAAATGAATCGCTAATTTGGGGATTTTAACGTGCATGAAAACTCACAATTTTTGTCACTCACAAGTGCGAGGAAAAGTGGCTCAGTGGCGCCCCCTTGAAATGTTCTAAAATTCAGCCACTCGCTACGATTTAACTTACATGCACATTCATTATTTTGCATGTTAACAATGCCAATACCTACAAAAAAGCCTCCTAACTTCATGGTGAAATGTCTTCAGGAAGCGTAATTTTCACCATTTACAGAGTATCTGTATTGGAACGCACTTGCCTGAGGGGATGTGACTATGCTAGGCTGTAGGCAAACCTTTTGTTTATCCACTTTTTCAGTTGCTGTAGGGAAATCAACCAGATCTACCTGTATTGTGGGGAGGTTGATCATACTGAAAACACACTACAAATTTGACAGTGTGATCTTTTAGCTCATTAAGAGGCATATTTAGGTTCATTAACAGGTTGAATAACTATAATAATGTATAGTGACACATCTTCATTTGTGTTATTGCTTCAGCAAAAGTTTGCTTTTAAATATCTGAAATCAGACTGAATGACTGATCCTTGGCTGTTACTGTATGTGTCTTATTTCCAACATCTCCTTCCTCCAGTGTTGTATCTGCTCACTGACAGTAAGATATAATGTAAAAGACAAAACAAGAGCTGCTTTAGTATTTGAAAGGAAATGACATTTCATAATTATGCAAATCAGAGTCAATGACGACAAGAATTCCTGAAGGAAGAATAGGGTGTTTAAAAAAGATTTTATGCAACCATGTCAATGATTTTAAGTAAAAACAAGAAACAGGGTATTTTGTGAAGTCATATTTGTCAGTGGACAGCTGAAGAGGTGCTCCTGTGGGTCTTTGGGGTCCCTTCAATTTATTATGAAGTATGTGAATGTTTGAAAAAATTTGTTTTTTAAAGTGTAGAATTGGAACGTTTCTTATTTGGTTATTGCCTCGATTAGTTTTCTTCTAAAGGCTTCATGATTTACCAGTGACAATGTTTCTATGCAATGCTGGATTTGCTGTTTCCACTCAACAGTTTTTCCACTACAGTTGAATTTAAAACCATCAAGACGGCTAATAGATAATGCGTCGAAGCATCTGTTTTGTTTGGATCTGAACAAACACATGTTTCCAAGAGTTGAATGTATTTCTCATCTTACAGCGGGGAACCAGCAATTATTTGAAGCCCTTTTGTGTTTTCTCTTAAGTACAATTTTTGCTCAGAAAACAAAAACTCGTGCTGGATGACAGTGTGGTGACACTGGTTTTACTAAGTGCATTATTATCAACAAAGTCGGAAATGTGAAGTATTCTTTAAGAAGATATCTTAGGTTTGAAAATGAAAAGAAACATTTACTGTGTGTCGTTAAAACTATTGTACTCGTTCTTTTAACCCACACAGTGGACATTTTCCTCTGATGTCACAGTCAGGCAGAGAAGCGAAGATGGTGTTATAATGATTTACTGCTGTGTTCAGGGTTGCACTTCCTATGTATAAACATAGGAAACCTGGAAACTTTTTATAATATCACATGCTTCTTGATTGATCAGTGGTAGAAACGATAATGGATAGTGGGAATTTGGAGGGACAATATATATATATAACCATTTAACATATTTGATTACCCATTAGCTGAAATTAGACACCAGCTAACATTAGCATTCAACGTATGGAAGCCCCTTTGGATATGCATGCCTACATTTCATTTTAAAACTTTTTCCCATGATAAGAAGTACATTTGGGTTGTTTTCTAAAGATCTTGCCTCATTACTTTTTTTTAAGTCAGGATAACAACTCGGGTATCCTGTGCAAACAAGTTAATATTCATCATTTTCTCGAAATCAAAGAAAAGGACGTAAATAGGTCGAGATCATGAAAAAACAATCAGAAATCAATCATTATCGGAAAATGGAAAAATATGGATGGCTGTATGTCCGCTCAGGGCTTCTGTATTAGAACAGTTCTTTGCCAACTTCACCGTTAATAGATGTTATTTGACCATGTCATATTTAAATCATTATCCTTTTTGATAACAGCATTTGGCCCTCACCCTGAGTAACATGTCAAAGGAAAATGCCCACTGTGAGAATATTCTAAATTGAATCTTCATCCAAGTGTTTTGTTTTGATTGTTGTTAATGTTCAAATCAAGCTCTGTTTAATGTTTTCTATCCCAGTTTTAGCATTCTCATGACTGATTTACAAAAGCAATTTGTCAGCAACAAATACACACACGAAACACAGAAGGTGATTTTCAGATATATAGAATGGAGCCTTTAAATCACATTAATCTCAGCTTTGCCTTCACCATAAGTGGAAAACATATTAATCACCGGAGGACAAGGAAAGTTTATTAATATGGCAAATTTCATCACCATGGTAACTCAAAGTGCTTCACACAAGACATTAAAAGCATAACGACAAAGGGAAACAGAAACATTCAAATAGAACATTTTAAAAATCACTAAAACAGTCAGTTAATAAAAGGGGGCCACCACACAGTCCACTTATGTGTTGTAAATATTTCCCCACTTGTTCTGTGGTACTTTCTCAAGTGAATTGTAGCCACAGTTGTGTTTATAATGGATAGGTTACTCTTTTATCTACAGCCCTGAAGACTGAAACTGTTGTATGTACAATGTATGATGCATTGTTGATGTTTGACACTGCTCCTCCTGATAACAGTTTTTACTATATTTTCTACTTTTTACTGCAATAAAAAGATCTTACAGATCAACATGTTTTATCTTTGCTGTTTACTCTTTTTGAAGATTTGTCATTTTGCGTTATATCGTTGATTTTTGTAATGTGTGCAAAAAATATATTGTGGATACTTAATGCAATTTTAGTTATATAAATATGTTTGAGATGCAAAAATCACAGCCTCTAAGTGCTGATGAACTAAAATAAATATTTTTTGTTGATTTATCTTAATTTTGTGTCCCAGCCTAAAGCAGACACAACCCACAGCAATCCAACTATTGCTGTCTCTAATGAGAAAAAATGTTTTGTTCTGTAAAACATCCACACCATACAGGGCTTTGTGAATACAGTTGCACAGTTTTTAATTGACAAACAGGTGTCAAAAACATGCAAAAATGCTGCTTTCACTGCAGCTGGTTCGTGTCCGATATGCCATTTTATTTTTTCAAAATGCAAAATGATTTGGTTCAGCTTCTTCCCTAAGTTGGTGGTCAAATTACTCTGAAAGCTCTGAGTACATTTAATCCTCTACACTGGCAACAGAATTGAAGTTACAACAGTTTTTTCATTTCAATGAAAGAAGCTTCAACATGCACTGTCTTTACAATTGTAATATATTTTTGTTGTCAATCATTTTCAGATTCTCTCTCAGTTATAAATCATGTTGGATTCTAGCTGCTGTCAAAAATCTCACACAGTATCTTTACAGTCAGTGTGCCATCTGAAGAAAAGCAGAGCAAATCAGATATGATGGTAACTTCATTTCACACTTCTCCTTGACTGGGCATGCACAATACATATCAAAGTCATAATGAGTCTCAGAGAGGGGCCCTCCTGTTCTAATTTGTAAAGTTTGTCTCAAAGTAAGTCAATGGGGGCAAAATCTGCCTCTTTCTCAGAGCATGCTGGGAGAGGCTCTGGCCCCCCCGCAGCCTTAGGAAGACAAAGGCCTGATAGATAAATGGACGGATGGTTTCCTAGTGAATCAGTTACACCCTGAGATTTTAAGGATGATTATGGATTGATTGATGATTAAGTATTTCTGTAATGTTTTGTTTCATTTTAAAAGAGAATAAGAACATTTTGGTATGAAAAGTTTTGCTTTGTGCTGAACATCTTTTCAAAAATAAAATAAACCAAAAATAAAATCATTAAAATTAATACAAGCCTACAGGACAAAAATGCCAGTGGGCACTATGACTCAGAATAAAGATAAATAACTCCCCAACATTGTTCAAGACTGTATACATAAACACAAGTACAACCAAATACAACTGTAAAATGCATCTGAATGATGTTCTAAAAATATAATAGAATTAAACTTTTACATTCTACCCTCTTAATCATTTTAAATGTGAAAATGGTCTTGCATTTCGCCCGCTCACATCAATCATCTCATCCAAATTAATACAAGAAAAATAATAACGATTAATTAAACCTAAATGATCGGCTTAGCTGTAATAAAATTAAAAAGTGAAAGCTTTGCTGCCCTCCTGCGAGCGAAAACAGCGGCTTCAACTGACAGACAACGATGCTGCATTTAAGGCACGTGGTGACACGAATTTTACGGCTTCTTTTTTTTTTTGTAAACGCAGCTTTGCTTCAAAATATCTCTAGGCAAACACAAGGGAATGAATTAGCCTTGTCAAGCATATACACTCTTTTTTTTCTTCTATTATTGTCTGGTGCGTGCATTTAACTCGCGGTCAGTGCCGAACTCGAGTCGCTCAAACGCAGATTCACAAATTACCCATTAACCTGAACACACCACTTGCCTTACATTGTTAAACGCTGATTTCTCCCGTTCAAGCCAGGAGCATTTTGTCTTCCGTGAGCCAAACCGGGGTCACAGACACCCGCAAAAAGCTTGAAACCTCGTCTTCGTTTGGCAGCAGGGCACACACTGAAAAAACTACGAGGTACTTTGCATTGTATTCATTATATTCGTCTTAGTTTTGGGATTAAGAAGGAGCCAGAAACGCTCGGGAAACAGGTTTCTGAATATTTCATTCTGCAGAGGAATATACAGGAGGCGAGTCGTGCTGATAATTAGGAAGAAGATACGCGGTTTGGCTTTTCAATTGTGTTTTTTTTTTTTTCTCCAGGTGTGACTTCTTTTACGTGTTTCGGTTAACGGGGTTATACACCTGTCCGGGTCCACTGGGGTCATTTTCTGAAGATAGGCGAACGATATGACCATTCAACAGTCAGACTAACAGGAGGAGGAGTAGGCTAAAACGTAGCGTGTTTCCCATGGCTACACCAAGCTTTCTCAAGGGCTGTTTGTATTTCTAACCAGCCTGGGGGGGGGTTACTACTAAGATACTACTTTTATCTTTAAAATTCGCTGCTGTTATGAAACAATAACTAGAACTTGTGCTGGGAAACAACAGAGATGGTGAGGACAGGAGTCGTGACGTCGCCCTGGAGGTGCAGGTTCATCTTTCCGTCAGGTTTCCTTTTGTTGACCATAGTGATGTGCAGGTCCTGAACAAGTCGGCTCAACGAACCGGCTCCTTTAATTGAACGAGGGGAGCCGGTTCCTCCTACAGGAGTCAATTATTATTATTATTATTATTATTATTATTATTAACACGTTTGTTATTAACTAATTCAAGGCTCAATATATCGATTAATCTATTTACAAAGAATTATAAATGTTATAAATGGGGAAAAATGTGAAACATCAAGGATTTTTTAACAGAGCAATACAATACTGTATGCATTAAGCTATAGGCAATATGAGCAGAAACATTATTATCAAAATACTTTTCTAAATTGCTCAATATCAATTTTTTTTTATCATTATTTATGACTGAGGTTGCTGGTTGATTGTGGGATTTAAACTTATTTGCTGTGAATTGTGTTTATAATTCACAAGGGTTGTTGTTGTTGTTGTTGTTGTAACAGGATGAGTCAGAGGTCTCCTCCTCTCCAAAACAAACACACCCATAAAATAAACCAGTAAGCACTTAATTAAGACGTTTTGTCATTTTTCTTTCTCTTTCTGGACATTAAGTTAGGATCCTACCGAAGCCCCCGAAGTCCCAAAAAAATAAAAAATAAACAATATATTGTGCGCACAATTTATTATGTTGTGATAGATATCGATCATCAAACTAACCCTTTTTTTTTTTTTTACTTCTTGAGACTTCAGGGGCTGTGTAGGATCCTTTTTTGTTCATTGTTCATAACCTGAATGTGGTAAGTTTTAAAAAAAGGAAGTGATACAAGAGCAAATACTCAAATTTTGATTTAGTTAAAAAAAAAAATCCAGAGCTGGTTTATTGGTTCCAGCTTTTTGAGAGCTGAAAGAGCCGGGTCCCCTGAGCTGGCTTTCTGAGTTGAGCAAAATGATCCGGCTCACAGAAAAGAGCTCAAATTCACATCACTAGTTAACTGAACACACACACCTTTTTATCCTCAAACATTTGCTGCAGTCAGGTTTCATGGCTGATGTCTAATTGTTTTCTGTCCTCCTTTTATTCCTTTTTTTTTCCTCCACTTGCTTGTGGAAGATCTAACATGACTTGGTGGATTGTTTGGCTGTAACCCTGCCTACACCAGAGGCTGCTGCTGGTAGGGATGGTGCCGCTGTGAAGAACCAGTGTGCCGTTTCAGAGTGGAACGGGGGGACGACATGCCTGTTGTGGGGAGTAAAGGGAGGAAGTGCCCAGACAACATGGCTGTTTTCAGCCCGGAAAATGTTGAGGATTTTTACGAGATTGGAGACGAATTGGGGAGGTAAGTTACACTGAGCTTTATCTTTTTTCCTAATGCATATAAACTTCCCCTTTTCATGGTGTGACCAGTGCTATTTTACACCTCTAAGGTAATATTTAGATGTAGGTACTGCATCTATACAAAGTGGGTTTAAAATACTCCTGAATATGTTTTTTCATGTCATTCTATACCACAACTCTGCATGGGTTTAGTCCATATAAACGGTGACTGATGCATGTCTCCCCAAGCCAGCATGAATGCACGCACAATGTGCCTCTGACTGGGAGTATTCCCAGGACATGCCTCCCCCTCATTGAGTGCATCTTGATAGGCTCTGATTAATGCAGTCCATAATGCAGTATTGTCAGTGATGAAGAGGTTAGCGTCTGTTACTGTAGCTGTAGCTGCCTCCTCCTGGAGATTTATTGCAGGACGAGGCAGACTGGATCATTGTATGTCTTTTTATAGGAAGAGGATTTGCATCGTGCGGCACAGCCTGCCGTCATTTCATTCATTCAGTCTGTGCTGTGAAAGGTGACAGCTTGACTGTGGCAATAAATGTGTGGAAAGTCGGTTAAACTTCTAAGCCCAGTGGCCACATTAAGCTTAAAGATACAGTGATGTCCTTGATTGAATGTGCTTTCCTGTTACATATGAAACCAGTGTGTAAAAAAAAAAAAAAGAGACACTTAACTGTTGCCAGGATTTAAACTGTATGACATAACAGCAAATGTAAAATTACACAAGAAAGGATGACTTTATTCCCGAAGGGAATGGCAGAGTCTTCTCAAATGACTGTCAGAAATATGGGATTGGATCTCTGCATATTTCATCAAAGGCACACATGTCCTCCATCTTGGTAATAATCAACCAGTGGTTTTGCCTGTCTGGCAACACTACTTCTTCTTTTAGCACTGACATTCAGGCACTGTGTGGGTGAGCTGAAGTGGCTGTAACTGCTTCACTGTGCTACTTTGGTAATAGAGACGTTTGGCAAGCTTTGTGTAATGGGATAGAATTTCTGTCTGGAGGTAAAGAGATATGAGTGTGACAGAGTCTTGCTTGGTTGTTATCTTAAAAAAAAAACAAGGTCCATTCTCTTGGCTTGTCTGCCATCATGGAGTGACAATCATGAAATGTTTAACATTTGTGATGTAGAAATGTGGTCAACATTTTAAGTCTCTATTGTGTAAGAAAAACATCCAGTGCTACCAAAGTAGAGTGTTTCACAAAGTCTATTTTTGGAAGGATGTCATGCCCTGACAAGAAGAAAAATATTATGTATAATTTTGGAGACATCTGAAGGCTAACGCATTTATT